AACGAGTTTGTTACATTTTAACATAATAAATGAATAAAGTCTAAATTCCAAACAAATATGGAGTAAGCTTCATGAGAGGCTCGAGTGTGCTCACATGAAACTTCCTCGCAAAAAGAAAACACACATTCGTCACCTCACCCTCGTAGCTACAATTCGACCCAAACCGGATCCTATCAAGAAACCCGACCCGGATATCCTTCCTTACAAACCTTGCTGGATGGGACCCACCCCTCGACCAATCCACCCACGTCACGGTCCGGTTCGAATTCATTTCCGGACATATCTTGTTAACCAACGTCGGAAGATAATGCTCGTCGATGTAACACGGCGGTCGGCAGTGAGCCTCGAAGACAGCGTAGTACCGACGGTCGGAGATAATCTCGGCGGCGACTCTCCGTGAAATCTCGAACCACTGGCTACCTTTGCGCCAATCGGAGAGCGACACGTGTGGGAGCATTTTAGGACTGTAACGGCCTCGGCCCAGGCGCCTTGGGTCATCGAATGAGCCGAGGAAAGAGCGCGTGGAGCGCGTGAGGTATGTGTAGACTGTTGTGAAGTTGAAGAGAGGGATGCAAGTCTCCGAGAGGAGGACGAAGCGAGCGTTGGAAGGTTCTAGAAGCGCGTGAGATAGAAGACGCTTCTCCGCGTCCATCATCGACAATTTTCCCCACTCCACGGCCTGCAAATTTTCACAAAATTCAAATATGATATATGTATAATGTATGTGAAAATATAAGCAAGATTGTAACCAAAGTTTTTTGTATGATATATGTATAATGTATGTGGAAAAGATATGTATCTACGTTGCGATGTAATATCAGATGTGTTTTAAGATGTTTTTATGGTAATGGAATAGAGTTTAAGAAAAAGCCAAAAATATTTGGATTGAAGACACTATACGAGCCCGAATCTAAAATGGGCTAATTTTTAAAGATAGTTTATTATACATAGGAAGATCCGAAGATGAACATAACTCGGTTTTAAAGAATATATTGATGTGTTAACCCAACCAAAAAAAAACCCTATTAATGATGTATATATATATATTACTCATACCTTGCTTGGTATACGTTTCTTGTAAAACACTGATGATTCCGGCGGCTCCTCAGTGAACTCCGGCGAGGTATGAACATAAATGGAATAAAACCCTTCATTCCCTTTGAAGAACATTTCCCAAAGAGGGGACAACGGCAAATTCCACCTCGTCAGAAACATGAACGCGACCTTTGGATGAGCCTCATTTATCATCGTGTCACGTGGCGCAATTACTGCTCGCCACATCACCTCTTCCTCGGCCACGTTACTACTACGGAAACTGCTAG